GCAAGGCTTGGCCTGGCCAGTGGAAGTATTTCAGAAGTTGATAAATCAGTAGTGGGCATTTTCTCCTTGCCATAAATCAAGTAGTGAGTCTGTGTCTACAGGTGACAGTGACACATTCTAAAGTTTGTGGTTCGTCCGTTAGAGAAGGTATGAAGTGCAAAGTTACTAATCTTTTACAGCCACTAAAAATGCTCTGCCAATGTGACTTTTCAAATACAAACAGGCAGTTGCTGTACTTTAGCACTGGTTATTCTTAAATAACCAGTTATTATTCTCTGTCTCTGCTGGGAGAATTAAATGATAATTCTTGCCTTAGTGGTACCAAGAAAGTGAAGCTGAGCTGGCGTGGGGGCATATACTGGATTTACACTGATGTAGACACAGAATTATATTCTGCCTTCTCTCAATTCCTGTTATGTATTGCTACAGCTACGAAGAAGTGTACAAGTACCTGATATAATAGTTGCAGGTTGTAAAAAAGGATAAAAAGGGCCCTAAAAATATAATAGACTTAATCCTCAGCAGAAAGAAATTGACATTTATGGAGCTGCATCAGATTATATTATCTGGGACTTAAAAAGAGCCAAATTCTGTTCTCTGTTGCAGTGTTCTAAATCTGCAATAAATCAGCTCAGTGAGTAAACAAAATACATAAGAAAAGACATTGTTTCTGTATGTTATTTGCTATTGGTTTATTTCGTTATTATAATGAACAGCTATGCCTTTAACTGGGGCAGGTTTAGTCTTTCACCAGTCAGCTTTTATGTTTTATTACCCTATCAATAATGAATGTACATGAATATGTAATAACCAGCTATTTAATTAATGCATTCAACATTGTGAGACTAGCAAAGAGTAAAATCTATACTCTTTTTAGAAAAAGAATCTCAAGTATGAGGAAATTTCAATTGCAGATTCCTTTTCTCCGTTTTTTACTTAACATCATAATCGGATCAATGATTCAAAGTAATAGTTGATTTCCACTTCAGATCTTTTAAGAAAAGGAAAGATGGATATCTAGAGAAGGAAAGATGAATAATAATTGCAATAAATATGTATTCTTAAAAATACAACATTATTCAAGGTAAAATACTGAAACGCCTTTGAGAACATCAGCAAAAAGAAGGTGGTATTACAGCTCTGATACAGAGATGTTTGCATTTGGCTATTGCTAAAGATATGTGTAGTTCAGTGAAAACAGTGAGACCATTTATTTAATATTAATTGTATAAAGGATTTCCTGATTTTAGTCTTTGTCTCCACATGCTTAAATCTCCCCAGTGTGTAAACAGGAACACCAGAGGGCAGGTGCCAGGAGATGTGGGGAGTTTGCTGTAAGGCAAGGAATGCACGTCCCCTTTCTGAGGTCAATTTCTATCTGGTTAAGAGTGTCTTGTGATTTTGGGCTGCAAAATATTCCCTCTGACACTGAGTTTCTTGTGGTTTACATCTGAAAATCCAATCCAGTAGAAAAAAATGCTAATGTTATTTTCAAGTAAAGTAATGCTTGTCATTATTATGGTAATACCATCTTTGTATGCTTCTCAGAGGTAAATACTCTTTTGTTAGATTAAGGCTATACAGAAGGACTCCAGGCAAAGGATCATGTTGCATTCTTTTTTTTCCTGTAATTTTAGCTGTCACCCTGTTTGACTAAAATACCACCTAGTGCTGTTCGTTATATCTGACTTAGGACAGGTGTCAATCAAATAATATTCACAAATAATTCAGAGTATTGCCAAACTTTATCAGGTAGTTCTTTTCTATGTGTGACACCTGCTCTTGCCAAGTCAAGATTATATTAATGTTTTTAGTAAGTGGGTTTTTGCCATTGGTCTGAAAACCTTAGTGATGATGGAAAGGGATAGAATTCCCAACAAAGAAAGGAGAAAACAGAGCGGATTAGTAAGACAAATTGTATTAGTGATAGAAATTTCCTATTGTATTAGTAAGCAATTCACCAGCACACATAGTTCTGTTGATAAGAACATAATATTCATCCCTGCTTGTCATGGGAACGAGTATCTTACTGTGCAAGTCACTTTGATTTTTTAAAAAGTTTTTGGAATACACTGTGCTGTCATACTTGCCCCCTTACCAATGAGATGGAGATACACTGATTCACACTGTATAAACAATCCCAACTCTTTTTTTTTTTTTTTGCGAAGTCTACTTACAGTTCTCTTGGCTTCCATCACCACGTATAGAGCAAATTGATTGCCAGTTGCTCTCTCTCCATTGTACTTCTGCAGTGCTGCGTCGACAGCTTTAAAGACATCAGGATCATCACAGTCCGAAAATTCATATGGAAGAGGAATGGCTCTGCTGCAGAAAAAACTACAGCAGAGTGCTAGTACAATGAAAGGTTTCATAATTGGATAAAAAAGCCACCTGAATTAGAAGGCTCTTTAAAAGCCAAATGGAAAAGAAGTGCCTGACAGGGTTTTAGTCACCTCTTCTGTTTTTCAGGAGCAATAGCTAAGTAAACAGAACAAGTGGGCTGCTGGGGTTGGTTGGTTCTCTTCATAGCCTGTTTATACTGCAAATAAACTTCTGAGTTTATCTAAATAAACTTTGTGTGGTCACCAGAATGACACTAAGGTTATCCACCTGCCATCCAGATAACAGGATAAATGGCTGCAGCTGGGGACATGTTTAGACCAAGCAGGACAGATCTTGAGGAGAAGAGAAAGAATGTTTGTAGCTTTCTGACTTCTTAACATCTAAACTGCTACTGAGAATGAATTCTACAAGGCTTAAATAAAACACCCAAGAAGGTCACAGTGGCAAGGAAGTTCTGGACAACAACCTTATAAATTTTGTAGGTCTGTTCAGTGTTCAAACTGCAGTAGTTCTGAGAACTGTAGCTCTCAGAACATGTTTGAAAAAAGTCTTTGGACAGATGTATGTGGTTGAATGTCACATAAGTCTTCAATAGCACTTGATAAATGTTGTCCTTCGCAGTACTCTTGGAGATGTCCATCTCTGCTGCCATGCAGAGACTGCCTTTGGACCATGGATTAGTCAGTCCACGGTGCTTTGTTACCTTTACAGACATGTGACACCCAAGAACAAAGGATTAAACAATGTTCCCTGTGTCTGGCAGAGCCAGGATCAGAGCTGGCTGAGAACATCTGGTGCTTTTCTCCAGTGTTTGGCACCACATAGCTTTTCTTTGGATTTATGAACACCTTGGGATTTCCTCGGCTCCTGTGTTCCAGCTGTGTCTTGCTGTATTTGGTTTGCATGGCAAGGTTTTGGTAGCAGGGGGCTACAGGGCTCACTTCTGTGAGAAGCTGCTGGAAGCTTCTCCTATATCTGACAGAGCCTGTGCCAGCTGGCTCCAAGGTGGATCCAGTTCTGGCCAGGACTGAGCCCGTCAGCAGTGGTGGTAGTTCCTCTGGGATAACAGAGTGGAGAAGGGGTAAAAAAGAACTGGGGAAGAACAATAGCAGAGAGAGGAGTGAGAATATGTGAGAAACAACTACGCAAACACCACCATCAGTGAAGATGGAGTGAGAAGAGATGCTGCAGGTGCTGGCGCAGAGATTTCCTGCAGCCTATGGGGCAGACCATGGTAAGACAGGCTGTCCCCCTACAGCTCATGGAGATTGGTGGTAGAGCAGGGATCCACCAGAGCACATGGATTCCCCATGGAGGCTGTGACCCTGTGGGAAGCTTGTGCTGGAGCAGGTTTTCTGGCAGGACTTGTGACCCTGCAGGGGACGCTCTCTGGAACAATTTGTTTCTAAAGGACTGGATATTGTGGAAAGGACCGACACTGTAGCAGTTCATGAAGGACTGTGTGCAGGGGGAGGGATCCCAGGATGGAGCAAGGGAAAGACTGTAAGGAGTCCTGCTCCTGAGGAAGAAGGAGCGGCAGACGCAACATGTGGTGAGCTGACTGCAACTCCCATTCCCATCCCCCTGCACTGCTTGAGGAGAGGAGACAGACATAATTGGGAGTAAAGTTAAGCCTGAGAAAAAGGTTGGGGTGGGGGAAAGGTGTATTAAAGATTTAACTTTATTTCTCATGATCTTACTCTGGTTTGATTGGTAATAGATTAAACCAATTTCCCTAAATCCAGACTGTCCATGATAGTATTCAGTGAGTGATCTCTCTCTGTCCTTACCTTGACCTGTGAGCTTTCTGTTGTATTTTCTGTCCCCTGGCTGGCTGAGGAGAGCAGTGATAGAACAGCTTTGGTGGGCACCTTGCACCCAGCCAGGGTCAACCCACCACACTTGCTACAAGTTTTGATTAAAGAAAATGAACTTTAGTAGAGACTATGGATAAACTGTGCCAGAAATAAGATTGTTTATATATGTTGACAGACTTCTAAAAGTTAGTCAACCTTCACTCAGTTACACTGAGTCCCCATTTGTTTCTTTTCCTTCGATGTAGCCTTAAGACTTTCACTTTATGCTGTTAAAGAGCTATTTTGAGGATGAAATTACTAATTTTTTGAGATTAATCCCAAGTTCTTACTTATGAGATGGGTGTTCTGAACCAGCTCACTGGGGTCCTGGGACTATCTGAATGGACTCAACCTTGATCTGGGCTGGAGTATAAAGAGGCACCACTATTCTTGCTTCCTGCTCCTCCCAACTCAGTTTCCATTGAGGAAGGTTCAGTGATAAAGAAAACATTTACATGAAAGAGTTATTACATGCATCTGCTTTCCTCTTCCCCTGAGAGCAATTATGAGCTATTTGGAAAGGGCTGTCCTTGACTGCAGTATTTCTGGGTATCACCACCAGCAGCTGTAGCAATGGAAGCACCTGTGTGGGACACCCTGCAGTGTGAGACTGCAAGTTGTTAACTGTTCTCAGACCTTTTCTAGGTAAAGGTGGTAACCCAAACACCATTAGTGAATTTATGCTAGAGTTTGCTTCGTGGATGTTTAAATAGCTTAGTAGTTTAATATAATTTATTAGTTTAATATTAATAGCTAAAAATCCATAGTAAAAAAAAAAAAGACAAAACTTAGGCAACTTTGTCAAGAAAAAAATTCTTGCATATTTTTATTTTCTTTGAATCTGTATAAAGCATGAATGTAGTGCCATGGGTCACTTTTTGTAGAAGGCAGTCAAATTTCCTCTAGGTCAGATTCCTCTGAGAAGTACATTGTAATTATGAATTATGACAAAATTAAAGATTTTAGGTGGTAGTTTTCACTATTAGGGAATTTTCCTTTTAGTTAGAACTGAAGGAACATTGTTTACTGGCGAGATTTTTACCCATTCACAGTACCTAAGGGACTCAGAATTTTGAGCCTTTCAGTCACAGTGGAGCCTGAGATAGCCAGGATGAAGACACAGGTTGGAATACTTAATGATTATTTTCAGTGCTTCTCCTCCCTAGAAGTTGAATGCTTTCCCCCCTTCTCCGTGTGCTGTTTTCATTCATTGAAGAACTGTCATTGGCCCTGCAACTCTCAAGCCAGGAACATCTTTCTCTGGGGTCATATAGGAGAATTTTCTGCCATGGAGCTCTGCGGAAATAATGGCAAAATTTTTGGAAGAACAAGTTTGGGTTTTCCTGGGCATGATTCTGATTGTGTAAGGTGATATGGAAAACCTGGATCTTCTGGCATCTCCTTTAGTCCTTCACCAGTGCTGGAAGAGTGAGTGTTGAACTGGGATAGCTCAGGAAAGTTTGCACTGGGAGGTGTGAGAGAATCCTGCTGATTTAGAACTGGAATGCGATAGATAGTTCCTGTCATGTGGCATGGAAAATACTTTCCTGACATGCTTGTCTTGTTGCAGTGATGTCTGTAATGGTGATGACAGTGATGAGGAGGGTGTCCTGGATGTGGTCCATGATGGTGAGGAGGATGGGGGTGATCTGGTCCATGAGGAGGGGGAGGAGGACAGTGTGGTCCATGATG